TTTTTTTTTTGTTTTAGCAGTTGATAACATCTTCGGAGTATAACAATTGACTATTAACTACAGGTGCTTATGGACTTTCCTCAATTGACAATGACGCTGCCTGATGGCCGTGAGGAGTCTGTCATGAAGCGTACTACACTGGTGGCCAATACTTCAAACATGCCAGTGGCTGCTCGCGAGGCTTCAATTTATACAGGTAAACAATACTTAAGAATATTCTTAATCTATCAACTGCCCTGCCGAAGTGCATTTAGTAGCAGTGTAGCACTGAAGCTCAACTCAATTTGAGTTCTTTGTCATGATTACTTCATAGTAAATTCATTTCTGATTTCTCATCCAATTTCTGATTTGTTTTCCGCTCCAGTTTCTTAGTGGATGGCAGATGTACTTGAATTTTAACCATTTTAGAGCCCTTTATTATGGATACTGTGAGTAGACCACCCAAGACTGTGTTCCTTGAGTTGCTGATGGGACTGTCAGTGGCTTAATGTTACTGATGAACATGTTTTCTTATGTTTGTATTAAATCCTCTTTATACTCCATGGTGCTTCTTTATTGGATGAACCAAAGGCATTGGTGGTTTATCCATCAAATGGGTCGTTTACATCCTTTCTGAATGTGGATTTTCAGGAATCACTATTGCTGAATATTTCAGAGATATGGGCTACAATGTCAGTATGATGGCAGATTCAACATCTCGTTGGGCAGAAGCATTACGTGAAATTTCAGGTCGACTGGTAAGAGTCCTACATAGGTTCTTATTTTTAGTTTAATAATTGATTTAAAACTTTTTAGTTAAGAAAGACTTCCCTGATAAGGAGTGCTACTTGTCTTTGTTCTATTAAGTAGATAGCTACCTCTACAATAACATAGATATTGGCTGGAAAAATAAAAGCTTTCTGAACACCGATGCACTTGTCAAACCATTTTTCTTTGAATTTTATGGAGTCCAGAGAAATGGAATGATTCGATGTGTGTTTTTAATGATCCAAACAGAATATAGAAATTATTGTTGTCATGATTTCTCTGTCATCGAATACTTACAACACTGCACATTTTCTTGTCACGTGTCAACTACTTATACATTAGTTACTATTCTTAACCTCAATTTTGGTTAAGCAGACAGAAATAACAAATTAACCAAATTTTTGACATGCAGGTAGAGAGCACATCTTACCAATTTCCTTTTTTCAATTAATGAAGTACTGGAAGATAAAATGATTTGATATTTTTTATGCTAATATCAAAAGGAGAGAAATCTTATTTGTGCGATAGTTTCTCCCTGTCACCATAAATACTTGCAACACTGCACATTTTATTGTTATTAGCTAATTATACATTTAAGTAAAGTTTAGCCTGTCTTGAGATATTATAAGGTAACCATTCTAAGATATCTATTCAGTTGGCATGAGATTTGTACCCTAGTCCTCGAAACTCCCAAATTTAAATTTGTCATTTCCTGATTGTATTCAACATCTTTTGCTTTACAGGCAGAGATGCCTGCTGACAGTGGATATCCTGCATACTTGGCAGCACGTTTGGCATCCTTCTATGAACGTGCTGGTAAAGTTAAATGTCTTGGTGGGCCAGAAAGAACTGGCAGCGTCACCATTGTTGGTGCTGTTTCACCTCCAGGAGGAGATTTCTCTGATCCTGTTACATCTGCAACACTCAGTATTGTCCAGGTAATTACAGATGTTAAACAGCTTACAAGTTTTTCCTTTTAGACGGTCATTTCCTGCACTCAGTTGCCAAATTTCAGGTTTTCTGGGGTCTGGACAAAAAACTGGCACAGAGGAAGCATTTCCCTTCCGTAAACTGGCTCATTTCCTACTCTAAGTACTCAGGGGTATATTTCTATTTCACTGCGGTCTATGGTTTATAGTCTGGACTCATCCTTATATTATGCTCTCCATAAGCCAATTTTCTCTTGGCACTTGCTAAAGCTCTCGTGATTTCAGGCACTGGAATCCTTTTATGAGAAATTCGATCCAGATTTTATTGATATCAGGACAAAAGCTCGTGAAGTGCTGCAAAGAGAGGATGATTTGAATGAAATTGTGCAGGTATTTTCTATTTCTGGTTTAAAAGATCCTTTTTTCTCTGATATTGATGTGGAGAAAGTACAAAACTTGTGTATTTCCTGTTGGAACCGAATTTGTAAAAAAGAAATTCCCAACTTGCAACAGCAATGTACCCTCTCTTTCTGTGCCCAACTCTTTCTGCTTGGATAATATTTGGCAGTTTTGATCAATATGAAAGAATGATTTCTCCATTGACATATCTTAAGTAGCTCTGATCAGGTTTCAAAAGTTGGCCTTGAAAGAGGATGTGTGCAGTCGTTTGAATGGATTCAATTTGGTACTACACATTGAAACAGTGGTTCTGCACACAGAAATGTTTTCTAATGTGAAAAATGCGTTCCAATCAGCTTAGCTATTTATTTGGCAATTGTCATCTGTCTCTTTCTGCTACTAATTCCTCCTTTTTGAACAGTTCCCTCCAATTTCTATGGCAAATATCTGAAATATATTATAGTCCTCGTATCCAGTTTTTCTTCTGATAACAAAGCATGGACTCTGAATTCAAAAGGGGAAAGTAAACTGGAAAGCATCCAATTGAATTGAATCTTATGCTGCTTTAATTAACGTCTAGCTATCTACTTATTGCAGCTAGTTGGAAAGGATGCTTTAGCTGAAACCGATAAGATTACCCTGGAAACTGCAAAGCTCTTGAGGGAGGACTATCTTGCACAGAACGCATTTACACCGTAAGTCTATATTATATTTTTTGTCATAATATTTTATTTGATTCAATTTAATGCCTTTAAAGACTTATCTGAATGTTGTCTTTGGTAACAGTTATGATAAATTCTGCCCTTTCTACAAGTCTGTTTGGATGATGCGCAACATCATTCATTTCTGCAATTTGGCTAATCAGGTATATCATTTAGCCAACTTTCCCTCTTCAATTATGATACATGTCATTAAGAATTTTGATCAAAGGTATTTAATTAGCGGATACTATTTATACTGAACCACATGTTTTTGAATCATTAAATGAAAAACCTGCAATCTTTTATGCATGTTTAAAAGTTCAATGTCACTAGACGAGCTAACTAAGCACCAGATATTAATGTGAATCGATGCTGAGGCTTGTAGACATTTAATGCTGTCTTTTGCTTTCCATTATCTGCAGCTTCTGCATGTAATTTTGGGTAGTTTGGTTCAATCATCAACTTGTTGAAGTTTGAATGACATGCTTCGATGTTTGGGTAGAAACATTGTTAGTCAATTATTTTTGTTCTAAAGTGGTCACTGGTTTGGTCACTCAGTTATTAGCATTAGTTTTATTATGGAGTTTCCAAAACGGAAGAACTCCATGTTGATTTAAATTCAGATTACTATATTCCATGTTAGATATGCTATTAAAAATAGCTAATGATTTTAGTTGAGTGACAAAATTGAAATAAATGCTGAACTTCAGTGATCATTTTGGAAACAATATAATGTGGGTAACATGAAATTCCACTGTAAGTGGAGTGACTGAAATTGTTTATAACCCTTTGGTGTTTAATTTGATGTGATCCACAATTCGATATCTAATTGCTAATTAGAACTCTGATTTTATATATGTCTTACATGTAACTTATTTGGATATGTAGGCAGTGGAACGAGGAGCTGGTATGGATGGCCAGAAGATCACCTACGCTCTTATCAAGCATCGTTTGGGAGATCTATTCTACCGTTTAGTGTGAGTGTCTCGCAGCCATTGACTTGACCTTCTAATGAGATTTTGTAGCTTTATTCGTGCTTGTTTAATTTCCATGCAGCCAGCCCTGATTTTCCTCTTTTCTTATAACAATACAGGTCTCAAAAGTTCGAGGATCCTGCAGAAGGAGAGGAAGCCCTGGTTGCGAAATTCAAGAAACTTCACGAGGATTTGACATCTGGTTTCCGCAACCTCGATGATGAAACTCGGTAATCGATGCATAGGTACTAAACAAATTCATGCCAAATCAGCTTTGTCGTCTGCTTTCGTGCTGGTGGGAAAACTAACTTATTGTGAAATTCTTAATCTGTTTAGGAAGCACGATGAGTTAAGTTGGTTTCAGGGTTTTGTGTTTGCCCGGGTTCAATGTGGTGTAGCTCTGCTGTTTTTCGGTTGATAATAAGATGCATTGTTTATATTGGTTTTTTTGTAGTTCTAAGTCGAATAAATAGTAGCCTTGTGGGTTCAGAGATGGAATGTACTGTTTACGAAGACCAATATTAAG